CATGCTGAATGAGGTATGCCTATAACAGAACTAGACATTAAGGAAACTAATACTAGTAATAGCTAACTCTTCTGTGCTCTTCCCATTGGTAAGCACTGAATGAAGGCACTTTGAACATTAACTTACTAATATTTAAACTTCACTATCCTGTGAAGTAGGTACTAGTAATAGTCCTGTGTTAAAAAGTAAGATACTAAGGCACTGAAAGATTACATAACGTACATAGAGTAAAATAGCTAGAAAATGGCAAGGCTGTGATTTAAACTCAGGCCTTCTGGTTCCAGATCCCACAATCCTAATCACTGTACTACCCAGCCTTTGAAAGGTATTAGGACCAAAAGAAATAACATTCAGAAGTTAGAATAGTAAACTGAGATGATAAAAGTTTTCATTCTGATGCAACAACCAAATATAAAAGAAAACAAGAAACAAGTAGGGGAATATGGTTTAATTTAAAAAAAAATTATATGCTCTAAAACATTTTACTTAGAAACTTTCACTAGAAGAAAAACAAAACAAAAAACATGAAAAAACATCAGCACGAATACATAATGCGCACTTTAATTGTAGATATATTAAATGTATATTAATACTTCTATAACATGATATCATCTCATATTGTTAACAAAGAATACACGGAAGTGATACTAGAGAACTACAGAATCCCGGATGCTGTGGCAGATGGGGTACCCTTATAAGAGCCAGAAAAGGAGCCCTGGAAGGTGGAAAGATAAGAGACAAGCAATCTAAAACCAGCATATGAACCAGCTGTGAGTTTTTAAAAATGTCAAGATGAATCTGGGAATGCCTTTAGACACAGCACACACTTTAATGAACATCAGAGAATTTACAGCGAGATTGTAAAGTTAGGAATGTAATTTTACTGTAGGGTCTTAGCCATGACTCTCACCTCACTCTACCGTATGCAAAGGAACAAGGAAAAGTATTTAGTCACGATTTGCACCTTAATCAGCATTAAATACTTCACAGTAGCCAGAAACCCTATAAATGTAGCAAAGCAGACAGGCCTTTAACTCAGTCTCAAGGCCTAGTTAACATCATAAAATTCATAGTGGGAAAGAACCACACAAATTTAAGGGTTGTGAAAAGTCCTTTAACAGAGTTTGAGTTTTAGTAACTATCAAAGAATTCAAACTGAAGAGAAACCAAAAATGTAAAAATTGCAACAAGGCCTTTAGGTATCACTCACCCATTAGCAAAGTCCACACTGAAGAGAAACTCTTTAAAGGTACCCAAAAGGAGAAGGTCTTAAGGAGTGATTCATTCCTTAATTCAGTATCAGAACTTTCATAAGAAAGAGAAACTTTATGAATGTACTGAATATGCAAGTCATTTAACCAAGAAAGGGGAATTTGAAGACACAAATGCTAAAGCAGTAGATAGGTGGCTTCCAACCACCCTAAATAAGATAGCATCCTACCCTCCCCATGTCACAATAGCCCCTTACTCTGCTTTATTCTTCTTCACAGTACTCATTACTTGACACACGATACATTTACCTCTTAAAATGCTTTGTCTAACTTCCTCTACTAGAACACGAGCTTTGAAACAGGAGGGAGTTTGACAAAGCTATATCCTCAGTGCCTAGGACAAAATCTGGATTTAGCAGGCACACAATAGTTGTTGAGTGAATGATTTGTAGTATTAATACTTTCCTTCTGTGGCGTATTTGGTACCTTGAGGTTACTTCATTCTAAATGAAACAGAATTTATTTAGCAGGCTTTAACACATACAAAATGTGTTCATTGTTTTATCATATACTAGAGTAAAAAGCATTGTAACTGTTATGGTCTATAAATTATTCTCCAACTGTGTGGGGGATGGAAAGCTGTACAAAAAGCACCCAGTAACACCCTCATAATTGTAGCAACCAGTGAGACTCAAGTGGTCTACAAGGGTGATGAAGGCAAAGTGGATGTTCCCAGCTTCTGAAAGTTCTTGTTTTCTCAGGTTTGGAATCTAAATTAATACTTCTCTGAGGACTGTATATATTCCTATATGCCTTGTCAACCACTGGTATAGAGGGCATGGCAGTTTGGAATCCAATAGCAGCAACCCTTTTTTTGTGCAGTTTGGCACTTAGAATTATGCCTCATTAATTCATAAAATATTACTAAGGGCCAACCATACATTAAGCACTATGTATATAGATAAATTTTAAAAATACAGTGTTTACCATCTATTAATAGTAAGGAAAATAATTACAAAACAATGTGATCGGTGTAATGACATGGGAGGGGAAGATTAAAGGAACAGAACAAAGTAGTATCTAATTTTGACTAGAAAAGGCTAAAAAAAGCCTATGAGCATAATATCACTGAAGCTGAGTCCTAAAAGACAGATGGGTATTCACTTGGCCACATAGAAACACATAGAAACAATAATGTCTACAAGGGTAATGAGGTTGAAAGAACACAAAATACATTTTGGAAAGGAACTGGAAGTACTTGCAATTGATCGATCGCGATGCTCTTAAAGGAAGAGAGAGAGTCTGTGGTTCTAAAAACGATGTTAATAATGATTTCAGTCTTTATACTTAGAAAGTACAAGGTATTTTCATAGTAAGACTTGCTAAAATGCTAATTTAAATAAAAATCTTAGCTGTATAAGGATAAGCAAGGGGGCTGAGGCAGGGATGGGGAGAGATTCTCCTTTCCCTAAAGGCTGTAACCAGAATTTTTATGTTTTTGAAAAAGGAGTCTGTGTTTTAAATGTTTGAGGAACACTGGGCTAGAACATGATTACCCATGATGACTACAGAGGTGACGCTGGGAAGGTAGGTATTCCATGTTGCCCTGCTCTCTGTGGAGGATCCAAAGAGAAAACAAGAAATAGAAAGGATTTTATATGAATGATGAGGACTCATTGTTTGGACATGTTGAATTTAAAATTACTACAGGATGTCTCAGTGAAGACACTTAATAGGCAGTTTGAAATAAGGTTTAGGGAGCAAGAGAGAAGCTGAGATTCAACTTACAGGTTTGGGAATCAGTGTGATATTATAGATGATAAAAGAAGCCATGGCTATGAATGACACTGCATAAGAATATAAAGAAAAAAAGTTAGGGGGAGGAGGACAGAACTCTAGTGAAGATCAATACCTAAAGACCTATAGAGTGGGCAGAAAATGAGATGCCACAAGGGAAATGAGGGAGACAGCACACATGAAATCTGTAGCATAGATTAGCTTTCTATAGGAAACAGGTAACTTCTTTTCCTCTAAAGCAGGGGAAAAAGAGTAAAGTTGGTAAACATAGTCTCAATTTTCTGTATGATAGGAGGAAGGGCCATATGCTAGGGGATGGCCAGAGGGCCTAAGGAAAGTGATGGAAGTTTGGTTCAGGCACAGTGGGAGAAGGGAGAGAGGCCACCCTAGTAACAAACAGAATGCTTACCTTGAGAGGTTTTCTAAAATTGAAGGAAGACACTTGTAGTGATTCTACTTTGAAGGACTGCATGCTCTTCATGCAGAACTCAGCATCCCAGAAAAGGTAGATAGCAAATAGGATTAATTCAATTGAGGGCTTGCAGAATGACTAGGCTGAAGGACAAAGGGAAGAAGGAACAACTAGTAAGAATAGTTGATACAGTGCTCCATAAAGCTGAGGGTAGACAGGGAAGCAAGAAAATCTGAAAGGGGCTGATAGTTCAGGAGTAAGGGGAGCAGTCAAGAAAAGGAGGCTATGAAGAATCTAAAGATTGTAGAAAGGAGAAAGAAAAAAAAAAAAAAAAATATATATATATATATATATATAAAGAAGAAAAATATATAAAATAAGGAAGTGAAAAAGCTGAAAACATGAAGAGTTGTCATCAGTTACTGAAATTTAAGATTTCAGAAAGAGAAACTCAACATGGTGACATTCAAGGTGCGGCCATGGGAGTACTGCTGGAATATGACAAAGTCACTGGGGCAGAAATCCAGGATATCAGCAAGGTATCAGAAAGATCATCCCAAAATGACAACAGGAGTTGAGGTAGACAGAAAGACCACGAACAAGGTGTCAAGTTAGGTTCTCTAGCCTTTAACACTCACCCCTATTATTAAAGGCAAAAAATATTAAAATTTCTACACAATATAAAAAGATGTACCCTAAAAGCATATGAACTAATGGTGGGCTAACTTAACTTGATTTTTATCTTCATTACTCATTTGAGAAGCCATACATTTTTTAAAACAAAATAGGAAAATCATTTTAAAATTTTTGTAAAATATCTAAAAGAAGAAAAATTTTAAATACAATTAGTAATACACGGCAGAATAATTAAACACGATGATTCCTTTGTGGAGTCTTTCATTATTTATCTTACTGGAAATGGAATCTAAATATTAGTCATAGTCTTTCATTTTGCCTACATTTATATCCATAGTATATATTCAAAACAATGAGGTGACTTGATTTTAATCTTTGAAGCATGGCAAACTTCAAGATAAGGAGATTAAAAAATAATCTAAAGATGGTTAAAATGGTAAGTTTTATGTTATATATATTTTACCACAATAAAAAAAATAATCTAAACTAATAGAAAAAATCTTTGTAAAGCTAAATTGGGTTACTCTTCATTATTAAGACAGGACATCTGTAGCTCAAACTGAGTTAGAATAACATATATGCCATTTTAGAAATTATAGAATCATTCCTTCACAGCTGCGATCCCCAACTCCTGGACCAGTACTGGGGGGACCTCAGAGCTCTGCCCCACCCTCCTACCCCTACCCCTGCTGGTCCGTGGAAAAATCGTCTTCCATGGAAGTTAGGAAGGAGGGGTACACGGCAGGAGATGAGCAGCGGTGAGGGCTCAAAGCTTCATCTATATTTAGAGCCGCTCCCCACGGCTCACATTACCGCCTGAGTTCCCCGCCCAACACCCCCACCCCAGTCCGTGGAAAAATTGTCTTCCATGAAACCAGTCTCTGGTGTCAAAAAGGTTGGGGACTGCTGCTTTACGGGTTTAAGAATATATAATAAAAGATGGTGATGGCATTTAAAGAAGGGTACCCACGCTGTATATCTTTATGCAGTGTAATATTCTCAAATTCAGTGTCAATATGTCTTCTTTTCTGGAACTTTCTTTTCCATTTTATGGGTCTCTTTGTTTTTCTGTTTGAACGGGATGAACTTACTAGTTACAGTGATGTTGAAAGAAGTTTAAAATTTGTTTTGCATTTGTTGTATTCCATTCTTGTTCTTTCAGGGGTCCTTCACACACAGACACATACTTCTTCAAAATTTTTTCTCCTACTTCTCGGAAATCCAAGGGTTCTTTGTGTGTAGTGCAGCTTGCTCCAGAAACACCAGTATTCGCTTCATGATTTTCTGGTTGTTGATCAGCACAATGCTTCAATCCCCAGTAACACATTTCACCACTGTACATCATAGCCAGCAAATGAATGTCACTAAATATTCCTGGGAAAGTCATTTAGGTTGACAGATTAGAATTAAAAGTTTAAAAAGAAACCCTAGTTATTAACTAACTGTAACAAATTCCTTTTGTCATTAAGCATTTTTCATTCTCATTTAACAGTAACCACTTAGAAAAGCCAAGTATCATTAATATAATCCTCATTGCATTTTTATCTCTATTTCACCTACTAAAGAAGCCCACTACAAAAAGAAAAACAGAGTACTATCAAAGCAATTTTTAAAAGAACCATTTAGATAAGTGTTCTTAACCTTTCTGGGATCCTCTTTAGGATTTCTTTGAGAATCTAATCTAATACAGGATATACACCCCAAATTCTGCAATTTCAGAGTACTTATAAACTCCCGGAATCCCATCCATGGACACAACTTTTATTTAGGGGTATGCTATAAGATCATTAATATAGCTACAGTTAAATATCCTACATTTCCTCTATGTCTCTAAGTGTCTACAGAAATTATTATGCATAATCATGCCTGAGAGGCCATACAATTATAAATTATTAAAGAAGATGCTTTGTATTACCAGGAAAAAAATACACTGCAGAATTTTTATCGAAAATTGAATGCATTCTTCTTATGAGTAGTTTTTCCAATAGGCAATTATATAATTAAACATTTATGGTACACAAAGTATATTAATTTGGCAAAAAGACAAATAGACCTATTAGAATCAAAAACATCTGGGCATAAATTATTGGCTTTGTAACTTTGGGCAAGTCACCAATGCTCTTTGAATCTCAGTTTATAAATCTAAAAAATGAGGATTCCACATGATCTACTTAATTCATGGAGTTTTCTTAAGGAATGTATAAAATAAAAATGTATCAGAGTTTTAGAAACCATGAAGTGTTATTAAAATATATTAACATTTAACTTCTTAAGACAATTAAAGTAAAAATAAGCGATTTATTCTAACATACTTCTGTGATTAGAAAAGGTTATCCGAAATAAATGGGCATCATAATCTCAGCTGCTCACCTAATATGGTTCAAAAGAAATGACTATGATGGTACTAGAAATTCAACTTTAAAAACTGTGGTAGTTTTTGTTTTTAATCTACCGCAAGCCTTTAAAGGTCTCAGAATTTGTCCCCACAGTTTTCACCTTCACTTCATCTCAAATTCTGCTTGTAAATAGTAGCAAGAGACACAACAGGTTCAGCAAAATAGCTGACTCATTAACATATGGTATCAGTAAAAAAATAACCATTGAAGAGCAAAATCTGAGACTTGCATTCACAACCACATGATAAACTACACCATATTATGCTTTGTATGTATAAAACCAATGTTACTTAATAAGTACAAGGCATGTTACATATAATCGTTTCTTTTTACTTTATTCCTTTGTAGTTAAAAGATCATAAACCTCAAAGAAAAGGCTAGATACAGCATTGGATATTATTCAGAATTATTTTCTATTAGATATAGCATTTGACTGAATGTATATCCTTTTTATTTTGTGATCCTATACTCTGTCTAGTTATTCCTAAAAAGACCAGTGTAGAAAGTAGGGAGAGAGAAGCAAAAATGGAGGGAAAGTTGAATTTCTAAACAGGCTAGAACTTTGGGAGGAAGAGCTGAAGTTATGTCCCACAAAATAAAGCTACTTGGTGAGAAATGATTTCCTAAGGGAGATCTGAGAAACAATTTTTGCCTCATTCTTTAGGTTAACCTCATTCTTTACATTAGCAACAAAGAATAACCTATGACCAAGATACAGAGATATCCTACCAGAAAGCATTTCTAGAAAGAGAATGAATGGCTGTTACGGTAAACAGTGGTTCTCAAACTTTTGCCCGCATTTGAATTACATTGTGGACTTACTAAAATACTGATTGCTGGCCCCTCATCCCCAGTTTCACACTGAAGTATGGGGTTGGGTCTATGAATTTGCATCTTTTTAAACTAACTCCTAAAACGGAGGGTGATTCTCATGCTGCTGGTCCACAGAATACTTTCAAAACTACTGCATTAAAATACCAAAGGAAGAGATGACCAAGGTAAAAATTAGGTACTTTCTTCCTCTCTATTCCTACAAGGAGTCCACTACTCTATAGATACAGGCTCTTTGCTTCTATAAATTTTCCTTGATATTTTCTTTTTCTGTTAATACTCAGCATAGTTTTTTGACAAAACGCTTTACACTGTGCATGCCCTCGGTAAATGCACATGTGACAGTGGGAAGGGCGTATGTGACATGGGGGCTAGAGGTGGGGATGGAGAAAGAGAATAATCCATGAAGTGAGAGGGTAGAAATGTGACTTTCTCACAAAAAAAAGTGGCCAGACTGGCACCTTCTGGGAGTAGTGATGTCCAAATCTGCCTACATCATAACAATTTAGGATGCTTATTAAAAATAGATTCCTGGGCTTCATTTATTGAATCAGAAACTGCATGGGTTACACAGAAATCTGTACTTTAAAAAAAATTTTTTCTATGTTATATATGTACATATTTATGGGGTACATGTGAAATTTTGTTGCATGCATAGAATATGTAATGATCAAGTTGGAGTATTTAGGGTATCCATCACCTGAATATCATTTCTATGGGTTGGGTACATTTCAAGTTCTTTCCCAGCTATTTTGAAAAATACAATACATTGTTGCTCACTATAGCCACTCTCCTCTGCTATCAAATATTAGAACTTATTCCTTCTTTCTAATTGTATGTTTGTACCCATTAACCAACCTCTCTTCATCACCTCCCACATTTCTACCGGTTAGTGATATCAGTTCAGATCTGCAGGGGAGAGAGGGTCCTCAGTGGTATTAAAAAGGGCATAAACCATGGGTGTAAAAGCTGGACAGTATTTTGATTTTTCCCCATTTGATTTCACGTTTATTCTGACAAGGTTATTTTTACAAACTCTTTGTCTGATAAGTCCATGTCCAAAGATGAAAATTCTCTGGCCTCACTTCATGGAAGAGTGAGGCTCAGGGCTGAGGTACACAGGCTTATTGTATACATTTGGTAATTTTTGAAAGCTGAAAATTTAATGACATACAGGTAATGTCTAAACAACAATATGATTATTTTGCCTTGGAAAAAGAAACAAAAATTATATACAAAAATTATATACAATTATATACAAAAATTATATACCTAAAATTAGGTAACATCACCAAAATCTGGCCACAAAAATATTTTGATGCCCCATATAGAACTTTTTTCCCTAGATATTAAGAATTATTCAGAATTACAGTTTAGATTGGCTATCAGAAAATAATTAGAGCCTCTCCAACGGAGTATTAGGAGGAATTTAGCCAATAAAAGCAGGTTGCCTTGCTTCTAATCTAATCATCTTCAGAGAGATGGATTTGGGCAAAGCAATCTTCAGATGAGAACAAGAAGCCAACACCATAAGAGGACTGAGGGCTGTGGCAAAACTGTTGTGCTGCCTGTATTGTTTTCTTTTTTTCCTGGAAAATGATTTAAGACTCTATCTCACTCTTTTGATTCCCTTGTTGAAGAAGTAAGTGAAACTAGAGGCTAGTAAATTCAAAGAATGATCAAGAAGAGAAGGCACCAATAGTACATACCTCCTGAAGAAAAAATTCCAGGCTGTGGGAGTATCTTACCTTATAACCAGCAACAGGAGAATGAGAAAATAGGTGACTTGTGTCACTCTCTTTTGTTCTAAATAAGCTTTAAGGCCTACCCCCACCTTTTTCTTCTAAACAGTATCCCAGGTTAAGAGTCCATTGGGTGAGTTGAGGAGATTTTAAAAAGACCAATTTCAATGCCTCTAATTTGTTATCTGGAAGAACTAATAACTAATATAATAATACAGGAGGGCTGTCCAGAAAGAATCCAGCCATGTAATATGGAAAATGGAGACAATTACGGCTGGATATTTTCCAGACATTCCTTCTATACTTCTATATTTTCCATAAATACATCAAAACACCCTATGTTTTGTCAAATGTCATGCCCACTAGGGAGTTCTTTGTATTCACAATAAGTCATTTTGGGATAAAATGTTTCTCTTAATGAACAGAAAGTAACAATTTTTGGATACCATGTTAATGACATTTAAATCACTCTATTTTATCTATGAAATGTTTTTAAATAGGAAGGAAAAGCCTGAAGAGGCCAACAAAGAAACAAGAAGAATTAAAATTCTAGAGTTTTTCCCAAGAAGTTTTCTTATTATTCCTAATATTTCATTTTTTTCCCATCAAAATTTCAGACAAAGTATAAGAGAAAAGTTTACACATATGATCTAATGTCACTTGCAGCTATGTGACCTTGAACAGGTCATCTAGTTAACCTGGACCTCAGTTTCTCAATTTACAGAGATGTTAAAAGTGGTTCTTCTCTCCCCACACTCCAGTCTAAAACCCAAATGATGATCTACATTCAGTTCCTAGAATTTTCAAGTACATAAATGTTTGTGGCAGAAACTTATAGTTGCCACCCAGAATTCATTCTTCCCCCACCTTCTTAGTAAAGAACTTTAATTTTATTTGAGATGGCAATAATTCAGGTTAAAAACTATACTTTCCAGGTTTCCTGATAGCAAAGTAAAGTCATCTGATTAAATTCTAGCTAGTAAAATGGAGGTCAGTCATAAGAAACTTCTGAGAAGGCTGCTCTAAAAGAGCTTGGCTGAAAGAAATTCTCTTTTGCCATTCCTGTAGCATGGAACACAGGTGAGATAGAAGGAGCTCCAAGAGCATCTTGGGATACTGAGAATGGAAGCAGTATCATAAACAGGGATGCATGCCATGCAACTTTGGAAAGGATCATTTATATTGTACTCTATATAAAGTGTCTCCCCCTGAAGCTGAAGGACTCTGTTCTAAAGATGATGGAGAAAAAAAAATAACATAATGATGCCATGGAGCAACTGTACCAGCTCTAGATTATTTCTATGCAAAAGATCACTAAATGTCAACTTTGTTTAAAAGTTACTTCTGGTCTGTTATAAGTAGCCAAACCTAGTTCTGATAAAATGCTGATTGGGGATGTGTGGGGATGTAAAATACATAAAAGTAACATAACTCTTCCAAAATTACTAAACAGAAGACATTAAGAGTATTTTTCTATATTACATAAAAAGACTCTAATCTTTCAACTTTTTAAAAGCCCTTTTATTACTTTTTGTCTATAATTGAGCTTGAAATTTATTTAAATCAGAGTAAAATCTAATAAAACTTCCAAAAATCTTAAAAAGACTTAAATCATTTATAAAACTTGAAAAAGAGATCACATTACCTGCACTCAGTAATTTAGCTGTGTCTAGGTCTTGGAAAGAAACCCCTTCATTTAACTGGGTAGGACACCGATAATTTAGCATCTGTAGCAAGTAACTGATTCCATCAACAAGGTACTAAATGAAAGTAAAAGCCAAAGAATTAAAAGCATTATATTCAGAGCTATAAAACTTCAAATATTGTTTTCCATTCTTTACTCAAGAAAAAATGGGCTAATATGTATTACACATATAGCTTATGACTATTACATTTCAATGGTATAAGGTCCCACTACTCCAAGAGTTTCATAATAAAAGTATATACCTTCAAATGCTCCAATTAGTAAAAGTATGAAAAAAAAATGTTAACCAAGAACACATTTCATTAAGATACTTGTCAAAGATGGTAGAGGAAAAATGGATAAAGATAATAAAGATGTGTTCAAAAACAATTTATTAAAAACATGTATATACTTATAATTTAGAAATATTATGATCAAACTTTTATATCTGAAACTGTGAGCTTCCATTTCCAATTCCACCTAAACTATGTGTACATTTAACACAAGTTCAAATCTTTAGTGATACAATACTAAGACCCATGTCTTTGGATTTAGTGATTTGGTCAGAACAGGAAAGATGAATCAGAGAGCCACAATTTTCTAAGAGGAGGGTCATGTGGGTTCTTTAGGAGGATTTTGCTGACAGATGCTCCCAACCAAGTGTTTCTTCTAGGCCAAAAAAAAAAATGCTTAGAAATTGATATTGTTTATCTTATATTTAAAACAATAAAAATCCAGATCTTAAAAAAAGCAGGTAGAACTTCCCAATTTACACAGTGCTTCCATGTGTTACCTTATTTGGTCTTCAAAATGATCGAAATTTATTTAAGATTACACAGCCAGTAAGTGAAAGATCTAGAACACAAACCCAGACAGACCCTTTGATTCTACTACTATTATAGCAAAAACAGCTTTTTGAAACCTACAAATATCAACGATCAAAAATGTGTAAGAAATGCCTTTTTACCTTTTTAAGCAGAGTAGATTTTCTCAAGAGCCACTCACTTCTTTTGGTCAGAGAATGACAATACATATATAGCAGGGCTCCTCGTCTCCAAGATAGACATTCCAGTAGCTCATCCCCGAGCAAATTGCAGTGCTAAAACACAAAGATACAGCTGTCTTGACGTTTATAAAAGTCGAAGTTAAATTTCAAAAACTCAGCAATTAAAAACACTCTCACCTCACAAAACGTGCCCTATGCTTACACAGAATGCTTTACTTTGAATCAATTAGAAATATGGAAGTTTATTGCTACATGAAAATAAAAATAACTACTTCAATTTACAAATAGTTTTATAAAATAGTTTTAAAAATATTTTAGAAAATTAATATATTTGAAATATAAGTAGTCACAATCTGATTAAAAAGATAACTTCTCAGAAATACATTATTTGATGCAAAAACATATCTATTTCTATTACTGCTAGAATAAACTATGAAAAAGCTATTCACAAAAATAATTTTAAGAAATCAAAACTTTTATGGCAGTATGTCATTTAAATCTGGGGATGGTTTGTTTCCACAGTTAGCCTTCCCTGATAAATACAGGGAACAAAAAAGATATCTATCGCAGTATTAACAGATAGTCAGCATACAAAGATGAGAAATTATATGCTTGAAAGAGTATCTAGGAATAGAGATATAAATCCTTTTTTTTTTTTTTTTTTGAGACAGAGTCTCTTCTCTGTTGCCCGGGATAGAGTGTTGCAGCGTCAGCCTAGCTCACAGCAACTTCAAACTCCTGGGCTCAAGCAATCCTCCTGCCTCAGCCTCCTAAGTAGCTGGGACTACAGGCACGCACCACTGTTCCTGGATAATTTTTTTTATTTTTAGTAGAGACAGGGTCTTGCTCTTGCTGAGGCTGGTCTCGAACTCCTGAACTCAACTGATCCTCCCACCTTGGCCTCCTAGAGTGCTAGGATTACAGGCGTGAGCCACCGTGCCCGCCTAGAGATATAAATCTTGGAATTACCTAAGTAAAGATAATAGTACAAAGTAAGTGAATAAGTTGTCATGCAAAGATAGAATAGAGACAATCACAGGATAAAAGAGACATCCTATGAGTTATCCTATGGGTTATTCTTTCAACTTTAGTGCCTATGTTTCTAGAATGGAAGAGAGGGTAGTTGCTAGGGAAAGAGTAAGAGAGGGCTTCTTACTTCTCAGGAGATGTCCTGGTTTGGTGGCTCATGCCTGTAATGCCAGCCCTTTGGGAGGCCAAGATGGGAAGAAAATTAGCTGGGAGTGGTGGTGCACATTTGTAGTCCCCGCTACTTTGGAGACTGAGGTGGGAGGATCACTTGAGCCCAGGAGGTCAAGGTTACAGTGAGCTATGATCAAGCCACTGCACTGTAGCCTGGGCAGAAGAGCAAGACCCTATCTCTTAAAAAAAAAAAAAAAAAAGAAGAAGAAGAAGAAGGAGAAAAGAAGCATCCAGGAAGGGGGTGATTAATACTAAGAAAGGCAGCAAATGTTCAGAAGGATGAAGACTATGAAAAGGACAACAGATGTGATAATTAGGTTAAGTAACCTTCAAGGAAACATAGCATCTGCAAAGTAAAGGGGACAGAAATGGGAATATCTATGTTTAGAAAATTGTTAGGTATTGCCATTACAATCTCATTATGCAAATTATGCAAATATTCTGAAACATTTATTAAAATATGATACTTTATTTGTGATATTGGTGTGAAATGTAAGCTCTCATATCTCCTGCCTTCAATCTTAATTTAAAACAGAAACAAAGATACAATCAAGAAGAAAAAAATAGACTCCAAAAAGCAGGATAGCAAGAACTAGCAAAATTCCACCATAATTTCTGGGAGTGCAAAACTTACTTTTGGATGCATATTATTTTCCTTAACTAAAATTTCTGGTTCTGAAAGAAAACTGATGAGATCTTTTACTTTGTGTGAAGAAGAGTCTTCAGGAAAATCTTCATCTACTAGCTTGTTCTCCTCAAAATATGTCATGTCCAAAATAGCCTAAAGAAAAAGAGAAAAAAGTACCTATAAATGATTTACATTTTAAAGGATAACTCTTACAGTTTAATCTTACGCATATAGGTGCTTTATTAGACATTTAAGTCTTTTAGCACAGTACTTAAGTTTGAGAAGTAGGCAAAATACCTAGCTGTAAACATAATTTGAGACAGACCTTATAGAAAACTAGGTATTTTTCATAGGTATTTTACTAAAGTACTGAATTAATGATAATCTTGTTTCCCTCCAAAAATAAAAGGATTTGTTTTAATTAACAGAAGTTAATTATATAAAATTATGAAAAACATAATTATTATAGTCTTTGCTATTTATCCATATATAATCCCTGAAAACTTTCTAAATGCCTGCTATATCGAATTAAGGTTACCACCTATAGTTTTGTATATTGAATCTTCAAAGGATTTATGTTTTTCCAAATGCAGAGCCAGTATTTGGGGGATATGTACGCTGCCACCCAATGGAGGAAGCATACCATCAACATTATGCAATTCAGATACTAAGTCCTTGGCATTCCTAAATACTAGAGACTCTCTATTCTGGCATCTTAAAACTCCTCAGTCCTTTTTCTTTTTTTATTCTATTGGACTAAAACTAAGGAAACCGGGTTCTAGTGTCAAGTTCTACCACTAACCACCTAACTAACCAAGGTCAAGCCAATTTTATCTTTTTTGAGCCTTAGTTTCTTCACCTGTAAAATGATAAATTGGACTAAATGCCTTTCTAAATTCCGGAATTAATTAACATATGTAAAACACTAAGAACATTACCTGGCACACAGTTAGTGATCTTCAAGTGGTAAGTGTTACCGTGTGGAAGGCCTAAACCAGGAAGGAGAGATCATCATCCTACAGACTATGATCTGTTGATTTAGAACCATAAATAGGGTTCAAGAGGACCTGGGAAATTTAAATCTGCATCCCTAGGTCTTTTGCCTTATTCTAGGAAGTAAATTAAAATATTTAGAACACTTCCATGTGAAAAAAAAAAAATGAGGTGACATCCACCATATGCAGACAAGCAAAAGCCTTCTGAAAGAAAAGAAAGTAAAGCAAAGTACCTGCCGAATTATAACAGTTATTTGGGGTTTGTGATTAGCTGTTAGGCTCATTCAGCCATGAAATTTGAAGGCAGAAACCATCTTTATGTACCATCTAACAGAAAGCACAGTGCCAGGCATGTAAATGCTACAAATGGGCAATTTGGAAGCTTAACTAAGTTTACTCCTATAACCATTTGTTTTATTATACCTTAACGATCAAGAAAGGCGATATGAAAACACTCTACCAATTACAAAGTGCTAAATAAATGTTAGTTACTATAATGAAATTATATTTCTTGACGTCAGCTTGTCTCAGCAGTGTTCCAGAAAACCAAGAAAATAGGTACTGTCCACACAGAGGCCTGAATTTGAAAGGAAAATAAAAGAAAAAAGGAGGAACAGAAAAAAAATCTCATGGACAGGCATGATTCTAGAACGGGAAGCCACGCTGAGAATCCTAAGGAGAGGAAAGAATAAAGTAATCAGGAAAAAAAAATAATCAAGGCCCTTACAGAATCCCCTACTCCCTTTGAAACCATCAAGAACTTAGATAGATGCACTAGAATAGATGCATCATGCACTAGAATTCTGCTTTTTATCTCTAAATGGCAGTAATTCTCTTATCTGGAAGATTTTTTCCCTGACTTTTCTTATCAACACATCTCATAAATCTTACTTCTTTGTACATGGCATCAAAGTTCCAAATCTATATGCTTTATACACAGTTTTCTGAACAAATTAACATTTTAAATCTGCCCTTATAAGATAGAGTCCACATCTATTTCAGTACCTGTGTGTAAAGTTCTAGAAGATCTGATGGATTTGAACATTCTTTCTCATCTCCACATAGGAGTTTCAATTTTTCTAGTGCTGCAGAGGCCCGAATTAAAAAGTGATCTGTAAGGAATAAAAACATGATAATCACTTCACATAGTTTCAGAATGCTATTTAAACAAAAAACGTTATGTATCTGAAATGATGAGATGAAAATTATCGTATATGGAGAAACAGCATGGTAGTAATTATATCTTATCTAAAACATAAAATATATCAGAATGCCTAATCCTAATTAAATACATTTATTATAAAAAGCAAAGTCTGAAAACTTTCTAGATTCACTGTTGCCATTTCTTGAATGCAGTCTGTATTCTCATAATACTTCTCTTATGATGTTGATGCATTTAATGTTTAAATAAAAACTCGCACTGGAATAGTACAAATATACATAAACCTAGAGAAGGCGTTTCCACTGAAAACTTATAATTTCATAAATGTAATTGTAAATGTTTTCTAAAAGAACACAATTGACCAAATCAAATGCCTCATAAAATATTAACACTTTGAGCAATTATAACTTTATCATGTGTTTCTAGCTGTTAAAATTACATAATGCATCTATGCATTTTATTCCCTTAAAAACTTAGAAATAAAACAAATCACCCCATTTCTTTAAAACCTAAAAGAAAATGAACCATATCCTTCTAATATGCCCAAGTATCACTATTCGCCCTCCCCCCCTTTCACTGTCTCCTAATTTTCTTCCCTTTTCTAATGTCATAATCCCTTAATTTATTGTATCATTTTACCTTTTCTTATGTGTCCACTCCAAGGTACTATACACCCTTCTGCATCACCTCATGCAGTTGAATTGAGGTATCAAGACACTAAAGTCCCTGAGTTTGCCCCTCCATGCTTCCCTTCTGAAATATATACCATTATACCATTTTTTCCTCACTGGCCAACAGACAGATAATGTTGCACTTGTTGAAGGCCCATCTGATCCAGCCTTAGCAGTTATATAGACAGATAAGCTGTTCAATGTTGGAGCGAAAGCACCTACAGATTACGTCCACTGGCAATCACATGATGACCTTAAGTTTTCCCACGTCAAGTCTACCTGTAGGTAGACCGGATTCTGATTGCTTTAAGATCTACTATTCACCTGAATTGAATGCAACTTCTTTAGCACTGTGTTCCTACCCCTAGCCCAGAAGTAACACCCATACACCACCCCCTGCAAAAAAGATTCTACTATTAACTGAAATTGTATGGAACATGGCACTCCTTAGGTGCTTCTTTAGACTGTGTTGATATTTTCTTCTTAGCTTGCAGATGATTTTAAATGTAAAGACTTTCATTGTACTCACTAAACCATTGCTGAAGAAGTATGTCACATGAACTCATGACATAATTACTGTGGGTGGGGGTGTAACACAGCTCACATTTTGGAAAAGCCCATAAAAATGCAGTAATTTTACTAGAACTATTTAGTCAAACGATTGGCAAGGCAAAAGATGAAAGTGATTCTTCATAATCTCTGGAAAAAGTCCCTCTCATGGCATGCTTCCAGATAGGGAACATACTGTGCTTGTACAGCGAGAAATAAATGAATAAAAAATTGGGCAGAAATAAAAGAGAGCATTCTTAGAAGGAATAATGTCTGGCTGCATCTGATCTAATTTGAAAAAGACAATGGAAAATACTAACCCCCTATAACCTAGTATAAATATATAGTTGTTACATTACAGGGCAAATTTTGAATTTGTATTATTATTTTTGTTGTGTGGGAAAAGAATGCCAAGTTCAAGTCAAATACATACAAATCTTGTTTTAATTAAACTTCATAAAAGAAAATCATGCTAGTTAATACTTTAATAAGATTAAACTGATTTTAATACTGATTAATAGCTCATAATATGGACCACTGTAGCAAGTTTTCAGAAGTATACAGCCCTCGAACAAAAATACAGTATATGGCACCATTGACTTTTTTTTTTTTTGAGACAGTCTCACTCTGTTGACCCGGCTAGTGTGCAGTGACATCATCATTGCTCACTGCAACCTCAAACTCCTGGGCTCAAGTAATCCTCCTGCCTCAGCCTCCTGAGTAGCTGGGACTACAGGTGCTCCCCGCTAATTTTTTTCTATTTTTAGTTGCTTGGCTAATTTTTTTTTCTATTTTTAGTAGAGACTAGGTCTCCCTCTTGTGGGTCTTCAATTCCTGACCTAAAGCGACCCTCCCACCTGGGCCTCCCAGAGTGCTAGGATTATAGGAGCGAGCCACCGCCCCACCCAGCACCATTGACTTTTATTTCCAGCCCTCATTCATTCCAAACTGGATTAAACAACTGTTCCAAGGAAAATGAGAATAGCTGTTGGGTTCTGTGATAACTTAAAAAATTCTTTGATCTGTTTGGACTGTTTCAAATGGAGCTGCAATTAAAGGTAACTTAGATACACTCCCAAGTAATAGCTACCGTTATCCAAGAACTATTCATGTGAAGCCTGGGATTCACTTACCACAAACCAAAAAAAAAAAAAAAAAAAGCTTCAGGGCGGTCTGTGGGTCACCGAAGAACACAATCCTGAGAAAAGATAATTCGGCAAAGATTCTTCACTGAAATGAGGGCATTTTATCACAGACTTTCTCTAATAAATTCATGAATTATTCAATTGCTTGGGTAGTTGCAAAATACTCCAACACTGTTTTCCTATGAATCTGATGACAATGAGTCAGTCCAAAAGAATTTTATAAACCTATCTGTAATTATGACTCAAAACTCAAAAAGGAGTAATGCAGAACCTACAAGCAGCTGAGAAGCAATGAAAAGAGAATTAAAGTTGAAATCAGAAGATTGAGGTAATTCTCTAAGCTAGTTTTTCCTAAAGAAACAGCTTAGAGGTTTCCAAAACAAGTGTTCTAATACAGAGCGCTTGTGAGAATTGAGAAGATGTATGCGAAAGAATACTCTAAATTACAACCAATGTAAATCTCTTCCTTAGAATACTGTTTACAGTTAAGTTCTAAATCCAAAACTTAAAACGGAAGTTTATAACGCAGCAATGAGAAGGCAGGACTCTTATACATGCCTACCTATCTTTCCTGGATGCAAAACCACTATTACTAATTTAAACTTTCATGTGTACTTCGTTATTCCGATTCTACGCTTTTCCCAATCGCTGAGACAGTTAAACCCGACAGCAAAGACCTGGCTGAGATACCCCTACGGGACAGATTTTCATGGGTTCTGAAAAATACGGGTTTTAAGCCGTATTTTGCAATAACGCTTTGGCAAGGTGAGTTCTGGGGAGTGGGCAAACGACAGCGCACCGGAGATCAGGGCGCAAGACCTGGGAGAGCTACGGCCTCGGACCCCCACGGACCACAGGCTACCGCCTCCAGCTTTTACAGCCATCGAGCGCCAGCCCTGTAAAACTGTTCGCCCCACCCACTTCCCTCTCCTCCGCTCCCTCACCGTCTTCACCGGCAGCTTCACTAAGTTGCTGTATGTGGGCCTGAGCCAGGTCCCCGAGCTCTTCCACTCGCCTCACCACACTGGGGCCTGCGGCAGCCATGGCCACAACTGGCGGGCGCGCCCCAGCCCACGTGACCGCGCTGGCCTGAGATCACCTGATCCCCTAGAGCGGGCGGGGTATAGGGCGGAGTTCTCATGGTTAGTGGGCGGAGACATCAACTCCGGAAAGAGAGCCGACCTAGGCCGGCAAAGGTCTTTCCGGGTTATTTTCCTCCCCCGGGACTTTCTCCCATCCTCCCACAATCCTGAGCAGCTAGGAGACTGTAGAGACGGGTGTGACGTAGAGACACGCCTCTCTCTAAACCAATCGGGAGCCAGCCATGGCCCCAGGTTGGCCCAATGGGAAGTCATTTTTCTCCAGAAGGCGCGGGGAAGGCGGCTTGGATGTGTCTGGCTGGCAGGATGCGGTTTGACGTCCGCCCTCGCGTGTCTGTCTAGAGCTAGAGCGGTAGTCGAGAGAGCGGGCGGGAAGGTCTGGAAAGAGTACTGTTGGCTTTGGTCTTGTAGTAAGGAGGTTGCTAAAATAAAATGATTATAATCCCCTGGTCAGAAATAGAAACCCTGCGGGCTCTTGAGTAGCACATCCGAGTTTCCAATAGGGGGTTCTGCGTCTGGATGGGGAGTTGCAAACATTAGTGGAGTTGCCAGTCTACGTAGTTGAATATTGCTTTTCTAAATCTGAATATACGCAGTCAGGTTTGTTTTATCTCTGACCTCCCTTGACTAGCTCACCTTTAAAGGATTTTAACCGTCTCTCACCCAATAGTACTAAACTTTGCAGCTACAAAAAATTTCTATTGCCATACATCTTGAGACCTTCCCTTAAGAGGCAAATTGTGCGTGAGGGTCATCTTCTCAACTAGGAGTCTCAAAGCACTCAGTCAACAAGTCTAACTTCCACTTTGCATTCCCCGATTGCTTTCTTGTCTCTGGTCAAATAAATCTTTAACTCTGTTTATTCCTTTTTCAGTTTGACACAGTATATCTTGAATAATCTCCATCCTATCTTATTTCTTATAGAAGGTGTTTTTTTTTATTTAATAGAAAATAGTAAAAATAGCAAATAATGTATTGTGATTTATAAGTGATTGACCACAATGACTTTCTAACATAACTTTATAACACCAGTTTCTTCCTGTGTCAATTTACCCTAAATATGGAGGACAGAAATCATGTATTAGTGCTGTGTCCTCAATGCCTCATACACTGCCTGGCACATAAATACTCAGAAAAATGTTTATTAATTGAACAAAAACTCCATGTTATCCTGTCAATGTATTGTTCTCCTTATAATCAAGAAGCTGAAAGCCAGGAAGGTTGCATTATATGATCAAAGTGGACTAAAGAATCAAACCCTAATAGACATTTGGCACCTTAAAATGCCAAACCTCACTAAGTATATATTCTAAACAGAATTTACAATTCGAATGATGCATTAAATAACTATGGACTTTCAGCAGACACATACCTAACACTGGGACTTATTTCTCAGCTGATACTCTGGTATGTGCTCATTTTCAGAGAGAGAGTTGGAAGGATCTGAGAGTATGTAGTGCAGTCTCTCATTTCCAGATGAAGAAAATGAAGAGGATGTAACTATTAACTCCTCCAAATCTTAGAATACATAAATCTGTGATTTGTCCCAGATCCTACCAAAGTATGCACCTATAGAAGGCTGTCTCACCGTAGAGATAAACAGGTAACAGCCAGCCTTTACCAGTGGACACTAAATGAAATGCTTAAAGTAAGAGAACTTCCGCACTAGAAAAGAAGAAATATGAGTAATTTGCTCCCAATTTATAGTTAATTACTTTTACTTTAGGTAAACCACATGAATAGAACAAATGAAAAAAAATACAATGCCGGATTGAAAAAAAAATTCTCAGGAGAATTAATAACTCACCATCAAGCTACCAAAAAATATCTTCCAAAACAAATAATTGATCTTATTTATACCATTTCCCTCTCTACTGATATATAATGAATAAGATTGAATTAGCTAAGAAGAAATTAATTTCTAGGGATGTTTATAAGAAATGAAAGTCTTTTCTAAAATAAAATTCTTGATTGTCCCTGAATTATCAATACTTACCATTTGGACCTTTTAGAACTTTCCCTTGAAGGCTTTATACTTTTTGTGTGGGTCTTATTGTCTCATATAAATTTGCCAACTCCCTGTGGATAGGAATTATTTTTTTTAGTTGCTACCGGTGACTTGTGCATAGTAGGACCTCATTAAATATTTGCTGCCTTTTTAATTTAATGGGTCAGGAACTATGGTAGGCACTGGGATTGTAGCAATAAACAAAATAAACATGATCCCTGCCCTCTTGGACCTTATTATCTAGTAGAAAAAAATAGAGATATAATAATCACATGAATGAATGTATAATTTGAAAATTGTGAAAAGTGCTATAAAGGAAAAGTAAAGAAATAAAATTTGATTTGAGGAATTAGAGAAGGTATCTCTGAGGAAATGATATTAACACCTAACTGAATAAAATTAGCCAGGTGGAGAATGTATCAGTGTAGGGCCAGTGAGGAGAGAGAAACTACATGGTAATTTGAACAGGGGAACTTTAATATAAATAATTATTAAGTATAATGGGGTGATTGGAGTGACAATGGATTGCCTAGTGAAAGATAAGAAAGTTCTAAAGAGTAGAGGAAGAACAGGTAGAGGAGCCAGCCATTACTGCCAGGAGAGATCCAGACCTTGTTGGAGAGCTCACATTCATGGGTCACTGGGTAGCAGAGAAGTCACTGTGATCCAGAGGAGTGGAACTTGAAGAAACTTCATCCTCTGGAACTTGCCAGAAATCTATTTTCTAGGGTGCCAGGGAAAGTTGTTTGTGGGTAAGTATCTCACAGGAGGCACTCTGCTACAAAACTGTACAAGGTGGATGCCAGAAGAAGCTGCTGGCTGCCATGCATTACAGAAGTCCGGTGTCAGAGAAGTTGCATCTGTGACAGGAGCCTGGTGTCAGCAGGCTGCCCATGTTTCATGAGCCTACCAAGAAAGGACACCATCAGGAAAGACCTTTTCCCTCCTGCAATGTCTCTCTAGTGCCCTCTACTGTCAAACTTAACATTATCAATTGACAAAAGAAAAAAAAATATTTCAAGGACCCAGATATATTTGCACAAATCAGGCAAAAGGATAAATTGGAGCGGAGAAGCAATAAATCTAAAACTAGCACAGCGTGGAAGAACAGATCAGGTTAGTAGGTAGCATATGCAAAGGCTATGAGTTTGGAAAGAGCTTGGCAGTTCGGAGGAATGAAAGAAGGCCAAAGGCCCCTCGTGTGAGGGGGGAGAATGGAGTAAGGTGAGACTGAAGAGTTGAAGAGGAGGTTCTCTCTTGAGTGGTTGCCTCCCTCACAACCATGCAATGGACTCCAAAACCCTGGTATAAACCCCCATTGGCCATGTCTGTATTAATTGATCTAGTCTTCTGGTCATGCCGATTCATTTACTCTATCAGGTGGTCATTAGTCAATATTTAACGAATACCTACTCTATGCCAGGCACACATTATACATTAATGAGGAAGACGGACCTCTCTCATGGAGATAGTTTGGAGAGTAGATAATAGATCCAAGGGTAAAAATCTGATAAAGGCCAAGCCAATCAAATTCTTTCTTATGATAATTGGAAAGTTTAAAAAGCACAGAGACAAGACTAATCACTTTAATGGCAGCACTCCAGAAAGACAAATATGCCAGCACCTGCTGAGACTCCTGGAGGTAGATTTGGCTTTATCGCCTCCCTAAGTCTTGGTTATTCAACTTTTCCTTCGTAGTCAGCTGCATCTTTATCCTGAAACCAGAGTCTGTTTCTCTTGCTTGCAACCAAAAGAACAAACTACTGTAAGGGTATATGTTAGTTGGGGCAAATCAGGCAGGGACTCTGATGCCATGGTAAAGACTGTGGACTTTATCTAAAGTGAAACAGGAAGACATTGAAGTACAGGTTGAGCATCCCTAATCTAAAAATCTGAAATCAGAAACGCTCCAAAATCCAAAGTTTTTTGAGTACCAATAAGATGCCACAAGTGAAAAATTCCACACCTGACCTCATGTGACAGGTCATAGTCAAAATGTAATCAAAACTTTGTTTCAGGTACAAAATTATTAAAAACGTTATGTAAAATTACCTTCAGCCTATGTGTATAAGGTATATATGAAACATAAATGAATTCTATGTTTAGACTTGGGTCCAATCCCCAAGATAACCCAATATGCATATGCAAATATTCCAAAATCCAAAAAAATATGAAATATGAAACATTTCTGTCCCAAATATTTCAGATAAGTGATACTCTACTTTCATTTTAAGCAAGGGAGTGACATAATCAGATGGTATTTTAACAACTTTCTTTGGCTGCTGTGAGAAGAATGGAATGGCAGGAATGTGAAAGAAAAGTGGGTAAGTCAGTTGGGAGACTATTTATTTTTCTGGTTGAGAAATAAAGTAATTCATACTAGAGTGAGGACAGTGGAAATGAAGAGAAGTGGATCATTTTGAGGTACTACAGAGGTAGAATCAATTGGACTAGGTGACAGAATTGGATGTAAAAGGGAGAGGAGAAAGAGGATGCCTTCCGGTTTCTAGCAAGGGTGACTTGGTTGATAACAGTGACATTGTCTTAGACAAATCTGGAGGAGATTGGTGGGAGAGAGCAAGAATTCAATCTTATTGATTTCCAAAGGTCTTTATTTAAACCCAAGCCAAATAATACTTTAATCTATTGTAACTTTCTACCTTTGTCTAGAAAAACAATTGGCAATTCATTTTTGAATTTTACATTGGGGGGGGTGGGGAGGAAAGAGAAAGAGTGTTAAATGGTAGTTAAGAGCTGCTATGGGTGGAAGGACTAGAAAAATTAAAGGCATGATAATTACATGGGGTCTTAAATAAGAACTACATAATTTAAGCTTTAGAATAAATTCATTCTGGAGGAGAACAGAAAGACTGCTGCTGCATTTAGGTTTTCGAGGTCTCATTTCATTTTCGAAGAAACTATTTCCCCCCACCCTC